CTCTCGCTGGGCAGAACAGTCCATCATCGAAGGAGGCCCAGAACCAACCTTTCACCTTTATCCAAGTCTCACAGCCCTAATTTCCTCCTTCCATGGCCCGCCTTCAACTCCCTCACCAATTTGCCGCCAGCCCATAGGCTCCCACCTTCGCCTTTGACTCTCCCTCGCCTCGCGCAGGCCTTACCCCCTCACTCTAGTCCCCGGGTATCCCTCACCCCACCAGCCCTCAGTAGCCCCAGACCTAGTAAACCGTGTTCAGGAGTCCCTTCAACTTGGCACCTCCGAAAGCATCCAAGCCCCTCACAGACCCTCATTTGTCCATTCACCTGTAAGCTCCCACCCTTCTTCCCTATCTTAGACACTTACTCCCGGACCCTCACCACCTGCCAATCCCTCACAACCAGTACAGTAACCAAACCCAGTACATTTTTTCCCAGTCTCTCAGCCCCTCCAAGCGCCTCTCCAGGCCCTCTGGCCCGTGCGTACCGTTCACTCACGGAACGCCGACCCTGGCCAGGCCCGGTCGTCACGGCTGTTAGGTGAGTTCAGGCCGCCGCCATCGCTTCTCAGGCGCACCATCCGCGCCCCGCCCCGCGCCACACGCAGCCGCACCCCCGCGCACCATACGCAACCACCCGGAGGCGCACGACTGGGCAATGGCGTGCCAGCTCATTGGCTGAGCCAGACCAAACCGGAGCAGGGACGCTTGTTTCCTGGCAACGGCCGAACGCAGGGGCGGGGACACCCACAGCATTCCGAGTAAGGAGCACCGCCTCTCCTCCCGGTTCCGCCCCATTCGTGCGTAAACCCCGCCCCTCAGAAGGACTCTGGCCTGTCACCCGGGAAGGCCTCCGGGATGGTGGAGGCCCGCAGGGCGGAGGCGGAGCCCGGGAAGGAAAGGTCGAGCCAGAGGGCAGAAGGCGGGACCTAAGGAGAGATGCGACTTTTAGAGGCAGGGAAAAGTCAGAAAGGCGGGGCTTGGGAGAGATGGAGCCGGAAGAAAGACGTAGAGAAAGGGGTGGGGTCACGGGTTCCGGGCGAAGCTTGGAGTGGAAGAGTGGGTGTGGAGGGCGTGGCTATCACGAAAGATTACCTGTAGATGTGAGAGGAGGAATCAGTAGGTGGGCCCGACCTGCGGAAAAGCTGAGCCCTAGAGAGGGCTGACTGTGGGGAATCTAGTTCATTTTTGCTCCATCGTGGTGCATAGCTTGGTCTCTACTTTAGTACCCCAGCAGTGACTGCCCCTGGCTCCCCCAGCATCTTTGTGCTGTGCTGCTCCGTGACCCCTTGAGCACTGAATCAAGAAACACGGAATAAGTGCCTGCATGTCCAGCTGGATTCTAGATCAATTAGAACCGGCCTCTGCTCTCCAAGACCTCAGAGAATTGCAATGTAGTGTAATAAGTGCAATACTGTGGGGGCCATCTAGGAGCAGCACTTAGCATGATTTGCATGTACAGTATACAGAATGAGAGGAACGTAGGTTGAAGGAGCTTAGGGAAGACTTCCAGGAGGTGTCTAAGCCGAGTGTTGGGAAACAAGCAAGAATAAGATAAACTAAAATAGAAAAACAGAAGTTTCAGATAAGGTCTGTAGTTTTAAAGGTATTTTACCAATATTAAATACCTGGTTTTTGATCATTGTGCTATGGTTTATATAAGATCATAACATTAGGGAAACATGGATAAGGAATTGATAAGAACTCTGTATTATTTTTGCAACTTTTCTGTAAGCCTAAAATTAGTTCAAATAAAAAGTATTTAAAAATAAATAGAAGTTTCAGACCACAGGATCAGCATATACCAGGGAAAGGAAAAATGGACAACATGTGGGGGGTCCCATAAGAACTGCAATCAGTACAGTGTCTGGAGCCTAGGGAACATGTGAGGAAACATTGTGAGATGAGGCTGAAGACATGGACTAAAGAACTTTATAAACCATGTTAAGGAATTTCAATTTTACTTTTGGGATGATGGCTACAAAGAATTTTATACATAGATTGATAGTGAGGGGACCTTGGCAAAGACAAAACAAGCTTATAAAGCCCAAACTAGAATAGTAAAAATGCAGAGAAGCAGACATGTGGACTTTTAGAAGGTAGATCACCATAGTTTGATGATTGGGTGGATATAAGAGGAAAATAAGAGGAAGAATTAAAAACTAATGCTTAGCTTATATAAATTCAAAAACAGGTAAAACTAAACTATAATATTAGAATTCAGGATAGTGATTACTCTTGGAAAAGCATTGACTGAAAGGGGCAGAATGGGGCTCCTGAGACACTGGTGATGTTCTGTTTCTTAATCTGAGTGCTGGTTATATGGGTGTGTTCACTTTGTGAAAATGTATCAAGCTATATACTTAAGGATTGTATACCTTTGTCTATGTTTGTTTGTTCTGGTTACTATGCTGTGTGAAAAACCAACCCAAACTTAGTGTCATAAAAACAATAGCCATTTTATTATGTGCACAAATTCTGGGAATTTGGATGAGATACAACAGGAATGATTTGTCTCTATTCCACGATGTCTGGGGTCTTATCTGTAAAACTTGAACATCTAGGGGTGATTTGAGGATGGTGATTGGAAGCATCTGGAGGCTTCTTCAGTCACACATCTAATTCCTGGGCTGGAACAACCAAAAACTGAACTCATTGGGGGAACTGTCAAACAGCACTTTTCACAGTGTGATGGGTAGTTTCCAGGAGGGAACATCCTGAGAGGGAGCTACCAGACAACAAGCATTCTAAGAGAACCAGAGGAAAGCTGCATGGCCTTTTATGATCTAGCCTCACAAGTCATACAGCATCATCCTGCTATACTCTGTTGGTTGAAACTATCACAAGGGAGTGGTGTCAAAGAATTTGTGGCCTTGTGGTTGTTGTTGTTGTTGAGATGGAGTCTCATTCTGTCACCCAGGCTGGAGTGCAGTGGTGCAATCTCGGCTCACTGCAACCTCTGCTTCCCTGGTTCAAGTAATTCTCCTGCCTCAGCCTCCTGAGTCGCTGGAACTACAGGCATACGCCACCATGCCAGGCTAATTTTTTGTATTTTAGTAGAGACAGGGTTTCACCATGTTTCTCAGGCTGGTCTTGAACTCCTGAGCTCAGGCAGTCTGCCTGCCTCAGCCTCCCAAAGTGCTAGAATTACAGGCATGAGCCACCACGCCCGGACTGTGACCATTTTTTTTTAACTGCCACAATGTTATACAATAACAATAAATGCTTGTCCTAGGTTTCTTGCTGAAAAGGCAAAGATAGGAATTCTAGGAGAAAAAGTAGATAGAGGAAGATAATGAGCTCAGTTATAGACCCAATGGGTGGAAGGTGACTGGGATATCCAAGTAGGAACATCCAGTGAGCAGTTAGTCATATAGATAGCTGCAGCTCAGGGAGAGTTCTTGGGAGCCACTATATGGCAAAGGAAGTCCTGTGGGTGACTGACGTCAACCAGAAAGAGTTAGGAGGATGGCAAAAGAGGAAAGCCTAAAACAGAATCCAAGGGGGGGAAAAAAAAACACCATCATAGAAGGAATAGACAGAGGAGCTTATGAAAGAGTCTAAAAAAATAAACAGAAAATGAAGACAATATGGCCTCACAAAGGATTTTATTCATTTTTTTGCATTATTTTAAATATTATCTTTTCATTTTAACATGTGGGGCTTCTAAATAAATTAAGAAGCCATGGAAAAAGAGAGTTTCACAAAAATTAGTTAGGGACCACAGGTTTTTCTTCTAAAGCACTCCAAAAACACAAACCTGATTATATCACTTAACTGTGCAAAACTCTTTAGAGGTTCTCTATTGCCGTTGGGTAAAATCCAAGCTTTATAACAAGCCTGACAGAACTCTTCCTGAGCTGACCTCTGTCTATCATTCACCTCATCTCTCATCTCTCACCATGCCTCATCTCTCACCACTACCCACTAGGTCCTCTAAAATAAACCAGTTGATGTTTGCCCAGTCACCCATGCTTTTTGATGTCTCCATGCCTTTGCCCACTCTGTGCACTCTGCCTCTAGTGCTCTTCACCCTCCCATCTCTGTACCCAACTTCTATTCATCCTACAGAACACAGGACACTTCCTGTGTGCTATAATAACCTTCTGTATATCCACCTAACAGAGTACTCATCAGTATCCTGGCAGTACTGCTACTGTTTAATTACCTAATGTGTAATTATCTGTCTTCCTGACTATTTCACCTAGCAGACTGTGAACTTCTGGAGAGGGGGGATTATGTCTTATTCATCTCCAGTTCCTAGTACTTAGCACAATATTGGCCTGGCACACAGAATACCTGCCTATGGGTGTTCTGATTTTGATTTGTTGACTGAGAAGGATGATAGTAGTGAAAGGAACATCAGGTTGAGGGAGAAATTATAGGATTTTTGTTTGTTTTGATATAGGAGATATTTAAGCAGGTTCACAAAAAGAGAAAAGTTGAAAGATTGGGGACCATAAAACCCATGGAATAGCTGCTAGGATCAGGCACTAGAAGTAACAAGAAGGAAATGAGCACAAAAGCACCATAGAATGGCCCCTATCACACTATCTATGATAGTGGTGTGATGGGGAAAGGTGTATATGGAGGTAGATATGGGTAGGATGTAGATTATGAAAATAGAGCTCACTTCTCATGTGAGAGGCATGTCTTTGTCCCTGGAGAACAGTTTAGCATCTGACACAGATGAACCATTCAGTCATAGTTGTTAAATAAACAGTGAAGCCCACACAGAGAATTTGCAAAGAACAGAGTGAGTGTTTGATCCTACGCTAAAACACAGGTCTTCTAACGTAGAGGACACCTATGTAGCTCAGTTGCTGTGAAGGGAGGGGAGGAGGAAAACAAACAAGACCCAGGCTTCCCTCTGAGTCATGCACTCCCCACCTTCTCCAGGGATCTCATTAGAGGTGTTTAGCTGGGCAGATGTAAGCCCAGGCCCTGGGAGACAGGGCAGAGTACTGGAGCTAGACTGTCTCCACCCCTTCAGTAGCTCTGGTTGTGTTGCTAAGAGCCTCAAAGACAAAGAAGTCACAGCGGGAGCCCTAGGGCAGCCTCCTTCAGGCAGTCAGGCACTAGCCCCCAACTCGGGAAGTCCCCTACAGGCAGAGAAGGTGTGGACATCTCACACCCCAGCAGGAGAGCACAGAACCATGAGCCAGGACACCAAAGTAAAAACAACAGAGTCCAATCCACCAGCCCCATCCAAAGCCAGGTGAGAAGTCCTGGTCCCCTGTGTGGGATCTCTCCTCATTCCTCTTGGTGCCCGAGTCACAACTACAGTTTTGAATGCCTGGTGAATAAATGAAGCAAGACTTTCCTTCTTTCAGGAAGTCACTGCCTGTCCTGGACCCATCTGGGGATTACTACTACTGGTGGCTGAACACAATGGTCTTCCCAGTCATGTATAACCTCATCATCCTCGTGTGCAGGTTTGGCAGGGGCTCTAAGGGAGGGGAGGAAAGCCTAGAAGAGGACTGAAGAGTGAGGCCAAGAAGAATGGCAGATCCTGGGGGTGGGGGCAGGCAGGGAGGAGGCAGATCCCTGGGGGGCCTGAGGCAGAGTGCTGAGGGCCCTGGGCAGATGGCTCACACAGAGAGGGTGCTCTTATTCCAATCATGCCTAACCCTGCCCTGCAGAGCTTGCTTCCCCGACTTGCAGCACGGTTATCTGGTGGCCTGGTTGGTGCTGGACTACACAAGTGACCTGCTGTACCTGCTGGACATTGTGGTGCGCTTCCACACAGGTCAGTGAGCTTCTAGGAATGACCCTTTGTTCCATGTTCCCTTCCTAAAGACAGCCACTTAAGAAGTAACAAGAAAGGCATCCCCACCTTCCTGTACCTCTACTCGTGACAGCATCCCAATGCTTACCCCAGAAACCCCGGAGCAGAGTTATACCCTGCTCCACCCTGTCCTTTGGACCGGCTCCCTGGCCTGCCCTGGCCTGCTCACGCTCAGCCACGCTTGACTACAGCACATCCCCTTCTTACCTCCCCCTAGGATTCTTAGAACAGGGCATCCTGGTGGTGGACAAGGGTAGGATCTCAAGTCGCTACATTCGCACCTGGAGTTTCGTGTTGGACCTGGCTTCCCTGATGCCCACAGACGTCGTCTACCTGCGGCTGGGCCCACACACACCCACCCTGAGGCTGAACCGCTTTCTCCGCATGCCCCGCCTCTTCGAGGCCTTCGACCGCACAGAGACCCGCACAGCTTACCCTAACGCCTTTCGAATTGCCAAGCTGATGCTTTACATTTTTGTCGTCATCCATTGGAACAGCTGCCTATACTTTGCCCTATCCCGGTACCTGGGCTTCGGGCGCGACGTATGGGTGTACCCGGACCCCGCACAGCCTGGCTTTGAGCGCCTGCGGCGCCAGTACCTCTACAGCTTTTACTTCTCCACGCTGATCCTGACTACCGTAGGCGATACGCCGCCGCCAGCCCGGGAGGAGGAGTACCTCTTCATGGTGGGTGACTTCCTGCTGGCTGTCATGGGTTTCGCTACCATTATGGGTAGCATGAGCTCTGTCATCTACAACATGAACACTGCAGGGGCGGCTTTCTACCCAGATCACGCGCTGGTGAAGAAGTATATGAAGCTGCAGCACGTCAACCGCAAGCTGGAGCGGAGAGTTATTGACTGGTGAGAATTTGGGGCTCCAGACCAGGACAGGAACCAGTGTACATGATGGAACCTGAGGGAGGTAACTGGGTCCTTACTGCCTGGTGAGCCAGGCAAGGCAGTCAAAATGTAGCATTCAGCTGTGGGTTTGCTGGGTGGGGCTTGGAAAGAGATGTCTTCAACAAGGAATCAGGACTTGGGGGGAAGAGGTGGGTAAGAGACCAACAGGGAGAGGAGCTCATACCCAAAAAGGATAATATGGAGACCAGAGAATGGGAACTGCCACTGCCTATTAGGGCTCAGAAAGCTCTGGAAGGAGTGAGTGGAGAAGGGCAATCCTCCCTGAGAATGGCCAGCAAGCAGATGGTCGACTACCTTATGGTGATCCATAGTGTGGACTGAACAAAAGGAAGTGTCACAAAATTGGGAGAGAGAGCAGAGGGTCTCCAGAGAGGAGGGCCTTGGTCGCTGAGGTAGCTAAGGGTAGGGGTGGAACAAGACAGCACTGATTGGTGGGTAGGGTAGAGCCTGACAGGAGGTGAAGGGTTATCTTATTTATTGTCAAGTGGTAGAGGTGTCTATGCCCTCAAAAACAGATTATCCAACTGTCAGGTACTCCCATGACCCCTGTTAGATCTCAGTATGGTGGGTTTCTTTGCTGGAGCTGAGCTGAGCCCTGGTAGAAGGAGTGGAGGCAGGCATATAAAAGGCTGGCAAGGAAATGGCACTGTCCTTACTCTCAGGTATCAGCACTTGCAGATCAACAAGAAGATGACCAATGAGATAGCCATCTTACAGCACTTGCCTGAGCGGCTGCGGGCAGAAGTGGCTGTGTCCGTGCACCTGTCTACTCTGAGCCGGGTGCAAATCTTTCAGAACTGTGAGGCCAGCCTGCTGGAGGAGCTGGTGCTGAAGCTGCAGCCCCAGACCTACTCACCAGGCGAATATGTATGCCGCAAAGGGGACATTGGCCGAGAGATGTACATCATCCGAGAGGGTCAACTGGCCGTGGTGGCAGATGATGGTATCACACAGTATGCTGTGCTCGGTGCAGGGCTCTACTTTGGGGAGATCAGCATCATCAACATCAAAGGTGGGTATCCCAGTATTTGTTCCAGGGACAAGGACAGGGAGAGGGATGAGGACAGCAGAGCCCAGTGCTGGGATCAGATAGTACTTCAGGCCTAAACTTCTGATTGAGGAAACCTGGTCCTTCTCTGAGTCACTAGATGGCTCAGGAGAAAAACAACACATAGAGGACCCATTCCCTGAGAAGAAGCTGAGCCAAGGCCAGTGAAGAGGATGGGTTCTTGGAAGAGAGAATAGACTTGCTCTGTGGGTATTGACCTGAAGCACCAATAGACTAGTGGAAAGTGACAGAGATCATAATAGTAGCTAATGTTTATTACATGCTTACTACATGTTCACATGATATCGAAACATTAAATTCCCACAACAGTTCTGTAAGATAATTACTATTCTTATCCCAATTTTAAAGATAATGAAATCAAACTCAAAGTAGTCAGGTAATTTGCCCAAGGTTGCACAGGTATAACATGTGGGATGAGTAGAAAGAACAACTTTTTTACAGCCAAGTGGAAAGAAAGGTAGAAGAGGAGAAGTTCCCATTTACTGACCATCACCTCTAGGCCAGGCCAGGTACTACCTACTGGCTCACTTTTTCCTTTTATCAGCCCGTGCAGTAGGAATTGTTATGCTTAATCACAGGTATTAGGCATGAGGCCATGTGCGAGTCGGAAATCCTGCAAAGCGGGTGAGTGCACTGTCATGGGCTGAGAGGCTAGATGTACTCTGGCTCTCTCAGCATGAGGGTTCTATCCTCAGGGATTCTGAAAGCCTCACATCTGTCCTCCAATGATTCCCTCAAGCTCCACACCCTGTATGAGGTAGGAGGCTGTCTGTTTGACTTTGGACAAGTCATTTCCCTACTTAAGCCTCAGTGTAATCACCTATCCAAAGAGGATAATAATAAAAACCCTAAGAGTTATTTGTGAGAATAAACGAGCTACATGAGTGAGACATCCAGCTCAATGCTTGGCACACAGCAAGTGTTCAACAAATGGTAGCTCCCTTTCCCTTTTCCAAGGTCCTTCTAGCTCTAAGACTTTGCAGTATTCAGCCTTGCCTATCTCCCTATCCACTCTCCACCAACCTCTTTCTAAACTGCAGAGATATCATACAGCTCCCTGCTTAAAATATTTCAATAGCTTCCTACTGCCCTCAGCATAAGGTCTGAACTTCATGTCCTGGCTTATGAGACCCACCGTGACCTAGATCTCCCTCTCTCCACCCTCTCCACACCCTGACAGTCCGAACTGCTTACTAGTTTTTACATCCACCTGACTCTTTTCTACCCCCTTCCCTCTGTTCATGCTCCTCCCTCTGGCTAGATTGCCCTACCCCCACTTGTCCCCCTCTTCTTGTAGTTACCTCCTACTCAGTTCAGGTATATTAGACTGTTCTTGCATTTCTATAGAGAAATATATGAGACTGGATAATTTATAAAGAAAAGAGGTTTAATTGGCTCACAGTTCTGCAGGATTTACAGGAAGCATGGTGCTAGCAACTGCTCAGCTGCTAGAGAAGCTTCAAGAAGCTTATAATTGTGGCAGAAGGCAAAAGGGGAGCAGGCATGTCACCTGGTGAAAGCAGGAGCCAGGGGAGGGGGAGGTGCCATGCACTTTCAAACAACCAAAACAACCAGATCTCGTGGCATCAAGCCATGAATGATCTGCCCCCATGATTCAATCGCCTCCCACCAGGTCCCACCCCCAACACTGGGGATTACATTTCACATGAGATTTGGGTGGAGACAAATATTCAGATTACGTCTTAGGACATCCCTTCCTCCAGACTTCCCTAAATTCCCTGCCTTACAGTTTGGTAGGGTCTCTTTGCCCACTTTTCCACAGTACCTGATGAATATGTCTACACTGCACCAGCCATACTGTTATGTAACTCTTCCAATATATATCTATCTCTGCTAGACTGTGAATTATTTGAGGCAGTTCACTGATACCCACATAGCACAGAGCCTGTTCCCCAATATGTTACTAAGTGAAAGAATTAATGAGGCAGAAGGAGAGGTGGAGGTCCTGGTTCAGGAGTGAAATGCTACCTCCTCGCCCTCCTGCTAACTATCCTCCCATCCGCCCATGGGCCACAGGGAACATGTCTGGGAACCGCCGCACAGCCAACATCAAGAGCCTAGGTTACTCAGACCTATTCTGCCTGAGCAAGGAGGATCTGAAGGAGGTGCTGAGTGAGTATCCACAAGCACAGACCATCATGGAGAAGAAGGGACGTGAGATCCTGCTGAAAATGAACAAGTTGGATGTGAATGCTGAGGCAGCTGAGATCGCCCTACAGGAGGCCACAGAGTCCCGGCTACGAGGCCTAGATCAGCAGCTGGATGATCTACAGACTAAGTTTGCTCGCCTCCTGGCTGAGCTGGAGTCCAGCGCATTTAAGATTGCTTACCGCGTTGAACGGCTAGAGTGGCAGACTCGAGAGTGGCCAATAACCGAGGACGTGGCTGAGGCTGATGATGAGGGAGAGACTGGGGAGGGAACTTCCAAGGATGAAGAGGGCAGAGCAAGCCAGAAGGGACCCCCTGATCTACAGTGACCCCATCCACATCCCCAGGATCCCCGCCTCCTAGTGAACCCGGAGATGTAGTAAAGCCTAACTGCTGCAACTCTGTCATCCTGTCTGCGGGTCACAGACACAGGAGCAAAGTGGTCTATAGACACCCAGCTAGAGATGTAGGAGTATAGCGCACATTCATCCCCTGCTCACCAATACACACACAAACACACACAGTTACTCATAGACCTGTTGGCCCCAAGACTGTGCATTCCACCTAAAATGCTCTGGAATTTCCATTCTCAGAGCACACAGCACACTTGCTTTCCCACAAGCACCAATATGTCTTATACCCACACAATATATACGCATTCAGTCATAGACCTCCTAAACACACAAATGCTTACAGTCATGCACCAGTAGACACAGATGCACTTCACAGGTGTGTACACACTTGTGAAAACACAAAAGCACACCCTGATCCTTCTAGGTCTAAGATGTCTTTTGAATGTTTCCCATATGGGCTATTCACAAGTATACCCTAAAAGTTGCACTTCAGTAAAGTATTTGCCTCCTCCCTAAGCATGTATGGGGTTGGAAAGAAAAGGCAAAGTCAATGGTGGGCCAGAATGGATTCTGTCTGAATTCTGAGTCACAGAGATGATTAGCATGAACTGTGTAGTACCTAGTGGGTTAGATTCAGAAGTGAGGTACCTGAAGAATAGAGAATCAATACTCAGCCTAGGCAAAGCAGGCTCTCACATCACACTGCTGTAAGAATGCACCAACTGGCCTTTGCATCCCACACTAGAGCATATGTTCTCAATATATAAGCTCTGAAGGGTTTCATCTCGTTAAGTGGGCCTCTGCTTCTTTTTCTTCCCTCTGGCCAGCCCCGGAGCCTGGGGCCAGGGCTTCCGTGTGTTCAGGGCTGATTCCAAGAAGAGAATAGTTTCATTCTCCCAACAAAAAGAGGGTGAATAGTTTCAACAGGACCATTCACCTGTCCCTGTCCTACCATGATAGTTGTTGGAACTGGTGTTGTTGCTGGTAGAAATCCAGCCCTCCCTCTTTGCCCAGTGTTCCAAAACACAGGGGAGAGTAGAGACTAGGTGCAGTGGAATATTATGGTCAGAAGCAATTAGAGATGAGTGTGTTGGGAATTTTGGACTTAACTCTGGTGTACTTGGAAGGAGGTCTGCACTTGGGGCAGGAAAGTTATCGTAGGGTCTATGGGGAGGAGTCTGACGTCATGTTTGAACCAGATTCACCCTGAGCCACCACTGCAGCTCCTCCAGTGCCTGGCCAGTCTTGAAGCCTGAGCTGTGGCAAGTGGTAGTTTAAAATATATCCAGGATTTAACTTATAGGTATAACTGAGTGATATGTCTCTACTCTCAGGAGAGATTATGAGGGTAATCACGTTTTAAATCATCTTAAAATATATGGTTATTTGGCAATAAGTCTTTATCACAAAATATAAGATCCACAAGACCAACACTGGGTTTTTCTTGGTCATCTCTGTGTCCCCAGGGATGTACCTGGCACATAGTAAGTACCCAAATATATATTTGGTAACCAAAGAAGAGAGAGTTGAAGCAGACAGAGGCCAAATGTTGGAGGAGATGTGTGTCAATTTCTTGAGCGGTTTTTTGTTTTTTTAATCATCTTTGCCCTCATATTATCTTGAACTAGAATGGGTGGGTGCATCATAAAGGCCATTTAGGTGGCATCTGATGGATTTAGGGAGTTGAGAACAAGTTTTTCAGTGACACATTGCAATGTGCACACCTGCTCCCAGTGAAGGCTCTCTTAGAACAGGTGGCCTCTGCCATGCCATTTAATCCTGGTCTACAGCACTAGCAGGGTGTTAACTGCTTATCTGGCATTTTATGGTTGCAGAAACAAAACTCTTGAAAAGCCAGCTCTGCATTTTGCTCTGCCTCTGCTGTTCCAGGATGAGGAGATCAGATTCTTCATGGTGGAGCTACCATATCATAAGACACCTGGAATATCATCAGTTGCATATTGAGGTCCTTTAATTGTGGAGTTGTTTTTATCACTCTGTTGAAGACAATATTTGGACAATTTGGGATCAAGCTGGGTAGAAATAGGTCAGGATGTGCAAAAGTGAACACAATTTTAAGTTCCTGGAATAACCAAGAAATAATAAATTTTTTTAGTCCGAAGAATATTAACTAATATGTATCAAGCACTAGGCTATACACTTATAAGTGTGGCCAAGGATTGTATTAAAGTTTTCATTTGGGTTTTGTTGATTTTATCCCTCCTCGCATCATAAGAAAGGACCTAAATCTTTGCATCCCTTAAAACTTAAAGCTTTTTGAATTACAACATCAGAAACAGAAGTTGACAGAAACTTTCTAGCAGAGATTTTGTGGGGGTCTTGGGGTTTTCTTTGTTTGTTTTGTTTTGTTTCTGAGACAGATCCCGCTCTGTTGTTCCGGCTGTAGTGCAGTGGTGCCATCTTGGCTCATTGCAACCTCTACTTCCCTGGCTCTGAAGCAGGAGCAAGGAGAAGCAAACCTCTTGAACACCGAACTGAGGAAGGAAGTGGCTTTTTATTCAGCCTCATTCATCGAGCTCCCCAAGAAGCAGCTTCTCTCCGCTTTTATAGGCTTACAACACTAAAGGGGAAACTGAGGCAAAACTATGTCATTGTCCATTGGCTGGACATCTGACCTTACAATCTTTTGGCTTTATTGATTCGCTACTTCATATGCAATGCAAGCAGGAACAGGCAGGGGAGGGGGCTTACAGCAACAAGACAAAGTTAGTAAATTATTAGTTGGCAGAGGTGTTTCCAGGAGGGAGCCTAGGCCGTGCAGACGTGGGGACATGACCCAGTGCCAGGCTCCAGCCTATAGGGATAACATAACATTCATTTGCAACTCTTTCAAGGCTTACAGATAGCAGGGATGCTGGGAACCGAAAAGGGAGTTATTTTCCCAGCTCTTTGGTATTTTATTTCTTTTTTTCACCCTCCTTCCCATCCGGAGGGGAGGAGGAGATGGAGGCCAGGAAGCAAGAGGAGGGAAGGGGGTCCCCTCTCTCAGCTCAAGCAATTCGCCCATGACAGCCTCCCAAGTGGCTGGGACCACAGGTGTGTACCACCATGTCTGACTAATTTTTGCATTTTTTGTAGAGATGGGGTTTTGCTGTGTTGCCTAGACTGGTCTCAAACTCTTGGACTCAAGAGATCCACCTGACTCTACTTCTCAAAGTGCTGGGATTATAGATGTGGGCTACCATGCTCAACCAAGATTTTGTTTTTGAAAATTAGGGCTCCTAGGTTTTCACAAACAATGGACTTGGGGTAAATTGTGCACTGTTATCTGTGAGAGCTTAAGAAGAGTTTAAGAAGCAGAAGTTTCTTCTGAGGAGGGGAGATTCCCCAAGACAGGAAAAAGAAATGATGTTCTTGAAAGTTATGTTAGTTTTTTTGTTTTTCATTTGTGTGTGTGTGTGTGTGTGTGTTTTGTTTGTTTGTTTGTTTGTTTTTTGGAGTTTTGTTGTTGTTGTTTTTGCTGCTGTAACATATTACCACATATTTCACAGCCTAAAACAGCACCCATTTATTCTCACAGTTCTGTGAGTGAGAAATGTAAGCACAGTATCAGTCAACTAGACTTCTGTTTGGGGCCTTCCAAGTCTGAAATCAAGGTGTCAGCTGGACTAGGCTGTTATCTGGAGACTATAGGGAAGAATCTGCCTCCAAGTTCATTCAAGTTGTTAGCAGAATTCAACTCCTTTGACTGTAGGACAAAGATCTCTGATTCCTTGACACGTGGCTCCTTCATCTTCAAATCAACAAAGGCATCTTAATGTTCCTAATTTTTCAAATCTCTCATTTCTTTCTTCTTCTATGAGGCTGAGAAAGATCTCTACTTTTTAGGGTTCATCTGATTAGAGCAGGTTCACCTAAATAATGCAGAGTAAGCTCCCTATTTTAAGGTCAACTGATTATCAACTAATTTAATTACATCCTCGATGTCCCTTTTGTCATAGCCCTGGGAATAACATCAGAGGGCAAAAGTAATAGAAGTCAAAATTCTACCACAGGATTTCTAGGGAAAAAAGCAGCCTAGGCACCACTTTCAATGAGGGCCCAAAATAGGGAACACTAAGAGTTGAGTCTTTGGAAAGAGCTGGAGAATGATCACTGTGCCTGAGCAGGTGCTGGAGCCTCAGAACAGCACCCCCTACAAGTGTGCAGGCTTGAACAAGGCACATACCAGCATTACCCTAAAAGTGTGCAGGCTTGAACAAGGCACATACCAGCATTATCAGCATGCTCCAAAGACTGGAGGCCCTGCCCTAGATGTTCTGTTCAACATAAAAGCCCCAGACACTATTGCAAGGCCCTAAATTGGGAAAGAGAGTGGGAAGAAAGCCCAAAACATAACCAAGATTAAATCTCCCATAAAGGGAAAACAGCATGGAGATTACTTAAAGAACTAAACGTAGAACTACCATTTGATCCAGCAATCCCACTACCCAAAGGAAAAGAAGTCATTATATGAAAAATGCACATATAGCAGCACAATTCACAATTGCAAAGATATGGACCTGACCTAAGTGCCCATCAACCAACAAGGGGATAAAGAGAATGTGATATGTAAAGCCAGGCACAGTGGCTCATGCCTGTAATCCCAGTGCTTTGGGAGGTGGAGGTGGGTGGTTCACTTGAGGCCAGGAGTTCAAGACCAGCCTGGCCAACATGGTGAAACCTCGTCTCTACTAAAAGTTAAAAAAAAAAAAAAAAAAGCCAGGCGTGGTGGTGCACAACTGTAATTCCAGCTACTGGGGAGGCTGAGACAAGAGGATTGCTTGAACTTGGGAGGTGGAGGTTGCAGTAAGCCAAGATCATTCCACTGTAGTCTGGCCTGGGCAACCAAGCAAGGCTCTGTCTCAAAAAAGAAAGAAGAAAGAAAGCCAGAGAGAGGGAGGAAGGGAGGGAGGGAAGGATGGAAGGGAGGGAAAGGAAAGAAAGGAAGGAAGGAAAGAAGGAAGGAGGGAAGGGAGGGAAGGAAGAAAAAGAAAGAGAGAAAGAAAGAGAAAAAGAAAAAAGAAAGAAAGAAAAAGAAAGAAAGAAGAAAGAAAGAAAGAAAGAAGAGAAAAGAAAAGAAAAAGAAAAGAAAAAAAAATGTGGTATGTTTAGACCATGGGATACTACTCAGCCATAAAAAGAAATGAAATAATGTCTTTGGCAGCTTGGATGGAGCTGGAGGCCATTATTCCAAATGAAGTAACTCAGGAATGGAAAACCAAATATTGTATGTTCTTACTTACAAGTAGAAGCTAAGCTATGAGTACACAAAGGCATAAGAGTGATATGATGGACTCTGGGGACTCAGGGGAAGGTTGGGAGGGAGTGAGGGATAAAAGACTACACATTGGGTATAGTGTACACTGCTTTGGCACTAAAATCTCAGAAATCACCACTAAGGAACTTAACCATGTAAAAAAACCCAGCTGTACCCCCAAAACTATTGAAATTAAATAGATAGATATTTTATAAAGTGTTTAAAAGTTTAGATGAGAATTATCTGATTTAGAGAA